GTCTGCACAAACCCCTTCTCCCAGCTCTCCTGCCTCCACGCCACCCCAGGGGATGCAGGTGGGCCCACAGCACAGGACTGCAACCAAGGAAAGTGTGTTTTTTTTTTTTTTTTTTTTTTTTTTTTTTTTTGGCCGGTGTGAAGAGGAAGCCGAGCTGTGGGAGATGCAGTCGATGGTCAGGACGTGGAGTGTCTTGCGGGTGCGTTAGGGGTCGGGTGAAGCCTGAATTAGCCCGAAAAAAAAAAAAAAAATAAAGTTTGTGGCCGCAGCCATGGCACCCTGCGAGATGGAGCCGGGCGGCTTCCTGCCGGGCTGCCCTCCTGCTGACTCACGCTTCAGGCGGGCACAGGAGTCTCTGGAACTGGCAACCCAGCGGGATTTTAAAAGCCGGGGCTACCGGTTTGTACCTGCGGCGTGCCCGGCTCCTCCAGCCCACCCCCTCGGCGGCGGGTGGGCTCCCAGCACAACGAGCCGCCCTCCTGGAGCTGCGGTGCTGGGGGGGGAAGCCTTCCCCAGCCCTCCCCCTGCTCCTCCGCCCGGCTGCGCTGGGCGGGCTGTGTGCCTGGGTGCTCCCGGGACCGCCGGGGCTGTCGCCGGAGATCCCTCGGGGCGCCTGGTCGCCGGGGGTGGCTAGTTTGTCACAGCCGGCAGCGGGGTCCTGTCCCTTTAAGAACCAGCTTGCCCAGGGTGTTCTAACCTGCCCAGCCTAACCTGCTAGCAAGGAAAAAGTTCTTTAAATAATGGATACGCCGCTCCGCCAATCGGAGAGCGGAGCCTGGCCGGCGGGGCGGGGCTCCGTGCCTCGGGCCAATAGGAACGGGGGAGGCGGGGCTCGGCGTCCGGGCTAGGTTGCGCCGAAGTACAGCTCCAAGTGAAGTTAATCTGGGGTGAAGCAAACAGAAAATTGTGGAGATTTTTGTTGGTAGGAATTTTCCGGTTCTAATCGCGTGGCGTGGCGTTATTTCGCCCTCCGGGGCAGAGGAGTTCATGTGCGTGGGGCTTTTTTCTCATTGTTTCGCTTTCTAATGATGGCAGAATATTAACATTTATGCAGGGAAGCAGAACAAAAGGGCTCTTTAGACAGGAAATAAGGTGTTGAGAGGCTCAAACTTGACCGAGTTTCTTTTGTCATCTGTTGGCTCGCACCGGGTTGATCTGTTTTATTTTTATTTTTTTTTTCCGGCGTGGAAGAATCGAGTCGTTCCACCTTATCTTACGGAGAAATGTTAATTCTAAAATAGCGAGGATAATGCTGCTGGTTTGGAGTTACACAATGTTACAGGAAGAGAGCCTCGATTTTAACTCTTAACTTCTCTGATTCTGATGAGATTTGAGGTAACGAATTATGACAGCTGCTGTGGGATTATTCAGTGATAGCATTTGCTCTAAGTCATTTGTCTTAAATTGCCTTTTGTTGTATCACTGAAGACTGCTGTGCTGTTGTCTGTAGATTTGTTCTTGGCGAGATGAATGTCTCGCAGGTCTTTAGCATTTAGAACAAAGATATGTAAAAATTATGTAAAACATTACCATTTTTCTCTTCTTTTTTAATTAGTTTTGCAGAGTATCTGGGTCTCTCAGAGCTCCGATTACAAACATAGGCAGGAAAATTATGTGTTATTGCCCTGTGTTGCAGCTACTACCCTTCCAACCAAAAAAAAAAAAAGGTGGTGGTGGGGATTTTTTTCTTTAGAATTGGTCAGAATCTCTTCTGAATCCTGTATTGCCTGAGGATAGCAGGTGTTTTCTTTGAGGGAAGATTATTTCCAGTTTCTGTACCACGTTTATCATGTATGGTATTTTTAGTGACACTTTCTGTGTCTGAAAGGTCTTCAGGAACAGGAAAAGTACAATTTGCCATGGGTGGCATGGGATAGGGTGAGAGAGTGAGGAGAGAGGAAGTGTCAAGTCAGGAAGCAGGGGGTTTCTAATGAGAATGAAGACTTTCTTTTAATTGTCATCCTTTCTGTATCTTTGACAAGTATGTTAGATGGGGCCACATACAGAACAATGCTTGCAGAATGGTGAATATATTTTCTTACTTCCCTAAATATTTCCTGCTTTTTATAAAAACACTGATGTGTATATGCAGCTGCTCCTGGGAATTGGAAAGAAATACTCACGGCCCTAATACTTGTTGAGTCTAAGGAGTTTAATGGGTTTTGTTTGACTAGTCAAGATGATAGAAGAATGGATGTGAAAATTGAGGAACAATCTTCCAGATGATGTTGGAAGATAATTGGTTAGATCTTTACTGAATGTAAACAAGTGTGACTATTAAAGTATACCTAATTCTTTCAGTTTTACATCGAGGCATTTTCTTTTCTCCCAAAATGCTGGGTATGGATTACTTTTGTGTATGTCAGAGTGTCTTGACACGCTGGCATCTTGCCATGCTCCAGTGGCTTATAGGTCTGAATTACCAATTCACTCTTGCTATCTGTTTTTAGCTGTTTATAGCATTTTTTAATGTTCTACATTGTATTTAAACCCTGGAAATACTACTTTAGAATAAGCAGTGACTTTATATGGTCTTTTAGCTAAGAGGTGGGCCAGATCTCATGTATCAGGGGAGATATTTAAGCCTGGGATATGTGTTTAAATACCTGGATTTTGATTCATTTATTAATTTAGAAATGATGCTAGGCCTAGACTGAGTGGCTACATCAGATGCCTCAGGTTAGGGCAAGAAGAATATTATAATTTATTATAATGTCTGTAAACTGATGAGTATGTGTGTTAGACTTGCTTAAACAAAAGGAAGCAAACTTAACTATTTGTGTGCTATTAAATACTATGTTTAGCCAGTAGCTGGTTTTGCTTAGACCAGGAAAAAAAGCTGAATACATGAGGCAACTGGGATCATATTGCTTGATGACTGAGTAGCCATTCTTCTCGGGTCCCCGCTGCCCTCCACAACTTAGTTAGGGAAGATGTATTATCTGGGACCAATTTTCCTGATTTATTCAACACAGAAGTGAAGTGCTCAACTCTCTCACCACATGTATACAATTCTAATGCAGGCTGTTTGTAGAAAGCAAATCTGCCCTAAAGGATAAACATACCACTTTGCTGGCACAGCTGTACAACTTCTGTATTCAGGCTACAGCAAATGTTTCTTGCCTGCATTCAAAGCCGTCGCTGGCAGGACCCGTGTTGTCCCCGCACGACTATTGGTTGTTCCAGCACTTCTTGTTCATAAAACCTTTTCCTGCACATGCTCCATCTGCAGATCTTAAACGCTGTGAATGTGTTGTGTGCTGTGGGATTTATGTGTCTGCTTCTTGTGCCAGGATGGAATATACATCTCTGTGAATAAGAGATCCTTAAAAGTGATTGTAAACCTGTGTAAAAAACGCAAGAGCAAATTGATCTCCCTTGCTTATGAGGCAATGGGGATCTGTGCTCTCTGGTCCATCAGCTGCTGGTGGTACTTCCCAGTCCTGTGAAGTGGGTGGCCCACCACGCGCTGGGATGGCAGCCCTGTGCTCTGGTTCTGTTTAATACTACTTAAAGAAGGCTGCAGGCCTCCCGTGGGATGATCTCTGTCACGCATGCCCAGAGCCTTAGGGAGGGCGGACGTCCATCCTGTGAACAGTGACGTGGGCTTCAGATGCCTCCTTGTTGAGAGCCCTCTGCTCCGCGCAGGGACCTCCTGCTGCTCTTCCCGCAGAGTGGGTTGTGTGAGCACTGGAGGCAAAGTCAACCAGGCTCGCTTAAATTGTTTTAAATTAGTGGCTTGAGCCAACCCAACTGGCTCTTTTCCCTTCCTCTTCCTCCCCCTATTTCCCAAGTGGTTTAGTGATCATTTCTGCTAATTGCTGTGTGTGCCCAAGGGAGCGGGGAAGAGGAATAATGTCATCTTGGAGAGTTTCAGCTATATCCAAAAAGGGACATCTGCCCATAGTTGCAGACAGAGAGAGGGGTTAGGCCTGCTAAGGAGTTTGCTTGCAGTTCTGAGGAAGGAGGTGGTGAAGGGGTGACCTCAGGAGCTCGTTTCAGCCCAGCTGTTGATGGGAGGTTGGGACTGGAGGGACAGCCCTCACCTGCAGGTACAAGGGCTCCTCACGGAGATAGTTGGCCTCCTGTGGTGTGGAGCTCAGCCTGGGTGGGGCAGATGATCTGGCCAGTGATGTTTACGCTGTAATAAGGTTTTGTGAAAATAAGCAGTTAATTACACATGACCTACAAAGAAGTAAAAATAGCTTGGATCTGTTCTTGCTTCAAAATCCATTTAAGAGAGGCATGAAACATTTGGGATTTTTAAACCTGCCTTTTTTTTTTTTTACCTTTAGAAATATCAGGAACATTAAGTCCTTCTTCCCTGTTCTTGTTGGATGTCTCAGATGTGTCATAAGCTTCTCAGCCCTTAATTGAAGGGGTGGGGTGATATATTTTTAACAGATCCCTTCTTCCAACTGTGTTTATAGGGCTTTTGAGCTAAATAGAGATTAGCAAAAACAAAGCTCTGACAGTGTAAAAATCACTTCTCCTTGATCAAGTTATGTTTTCTTGCTCATTCTCTAGTTGTTGACAGAAACTGAGGTTTTTTCATTTGAAAAGTAACTTTTTTTTGGTTATTAAATTATGCATTAAGAGATAAACTGAGTTAAATCCTAACTTGATCCATTTTCTCCATTTAGATCAACTGAAGACAATCTTTTGAGTATTACTTAGACAAATGAACTATTGCATATGAGTATTTCCTAAAAATAGCTCCTCCTTAAGCAGCAGTTTTACTAAACGCACAGCTCTTCCTTTGAATGGTTCAGCAATCTTGCAGAAGCTGAAACTGTCTCCACGCTGAAGACCACCCCTGCTCAGCCATTCTGCCCTGTCAGGATGTATTTGTATCACAGGACTCTAACCTTCAGGATACAG